GCGTGCGAAGGTTGCGGTAATTGCCCGTAGCCCACGGTATGCGTATGCCCACGAGGGACAGGTGATGCAAGTGCGGGGTCTCTCCACGGAACAGGGGACAATCAAGGATCAGTGGGGCGTACGCAAATGCGTCTGCATTCTGCAGAAAGACCTCGTGTATCTGTGGAGCGCTGCCTTCATACACCCAGGGCACGAGCTGGACTCGTGTTGCAACGAGGCTGAGCTCCGTAACTTGCAGCAAGTTCTCGGTACAGAGCTTGACGGCAAACTCGCTACGGGGTGTCGCGTATAAAGAGACGGGCCAGCTGAACCTGAGAGCACAATTGCCGCTGTGCTCACACAGTAGCCGCGCCAACTTCTCCGGTATGTTTGACAGATCCACGCGGCTCCAGTTGAGGGAACATGACAGTGAAAGCTGTCGCCAGTGCGAACAAGTTTGGGAGATTGCAAGGCTTGTGCAGAGCTGATTGCGCGCGGTCCCAGCGTACGCACAGATATGGAAGACGAGGTAGAGTATGTCATCAGGCAGCTGACCGACGGAAGAGCTTCGGTTGCGCAACGTTGCAACCTGCACGCACGCGTCTGAGAGCGCCGAGCGGACCTTTTCCATCATTAGTGCCAGCCTCTGCAACTCGCTGTCATAGAGCATGGCCACCTCCTGTGAGCTCATTTCATGTTCTATAACAGCGAACAACCTAGGGCAAACGGTTAGCAACTGGCGGAATCGAAGCAGGGGACGCGTGGTACGTACGCCGACCCTGGTGACCATACGTGCCCGACAGAGGTGCTGAACGCTTCCAAGAGCGTTTCGGCAGCGTGCGGATCCATGCAACGCAGACGACGAATAGGGGCGGAGAGAAGTAACACGAGTGGTTGCAGGGAGCCGGCTGTTATATTCCTGAGTGCAGCGGTGCACATCATGGCAATCTAACGTGTTCGTTGTTCTGTAAAAACATTTTTGGGTGTTGATTGAGGTCGATTGATCGCGAATGTATCACCAAGCATCATTCGCACATGTTCGACATCACCGTGTTGTTGTATCTGAGGCGCGTACCCAATGATTTGACAATGCGCTGATGCGCTTTGTAGTCCCATGCTCTCTGACATGACGCGCTCCGCGTCATGGTTTCTTTATTTAGATGTGACACGCCCAGAGCACTCTACGCTGGCACCCGTTTGACACCCCGACTCGTTTGTACCTAGTCTCGCCTTTGTAAGGACATTTCATTGGTTATGATTAGATTAGGAAATACTATAGCTATAAAAGAACACGGTGTAATATTTCGACAATTTATCGTACATTATTCGTGAGTCCCCTGCCTGTGCGAAGATTCCTACAACACACCGCAGAGGCAATGCGGTGATCACCGGGCGCAGCACATTCTTGCTCAGAGAGCAAACACGAGATGAATCACTTCCTCTTTTGTTGTAGCAAGGCGGTTGCGACTTCTGGCCTAAGGTCTAACAAGAGACCGGCGCTGCAGAAGAAAGTTGTGCAGATATAGCAGCTGACTGACTGTGATGGATGATATTGAGCTAGATAAGAAATATGTCTAGTGGTGTGTGACATGTGACACTGCTACATACAGTATATAGTACACTCTTTGCTCAGACTACGACAAGGGTATCAATGGATGCCTTCCCGCAGCCGTCTGAAGAGGTTTGCAGATTAGATTGCTGCATCCAAACCTTCTCGGCACCTTGACATCTCCTCCAAGCCGTTGAGAGAATCTGCGTTTCCAAGCCCATTTTCGAGCACTGCTGGCGCCTGCCAGCCCGTCGCGAGAGCCACGTTGCCCAGCCTTGGGTCAATCTGGAGCGTGGTCGCAGGAAATCTACGCAAGCGGGCATCAATGGTGAATTTACGGAATGATATAGGTGAGGTTGTACGTGTTATAGAGCAAAGGGGCTGCCCACATAGTAAGTGACCGTCTCAGTAGTGCACGGGGCACATTCGCCAATTAGCTGCGCTAAGCGTTATCTTAACAGATGAGCGAATGCTCTCATAGGATCAATGTTAAGGTGGCTTGGCTTGTCGTAATAGGCATGAGCGAGTTTGTAGCCTACAAAGAACGAGGATGTGGTCGAAATCGCAGCATTGATGTCACACATTCATGGGCACTCGCGCAGATGCCTCGACCGCCTCCTGACTCTTCTCGTCCCCTCCGTCAGACTTACCGCCTGAGCCTTGATGGCCGAGGTTTAATCGCAAGGTCATTCCGCCGCTGCGCCCCCTGGGGCACCATCAATGGTACATCCCATTGGAATAAATCGCATGCTACTGCACGACTTTCCCTATGCTACTCTCGTGCAGGAGCTTAGAATTCAGAATGTGCTGCCACCTCAGTTGTCTCACACCAGACTTTTGGTGAATTTCTCATAATCTTAAATATACCCATACACAATCTGGAAACCATTCTGATACACTAAACTATTTCAAACTCCCAGTAAGAGTATATATAGATTGGTGGCGTTTTTCAATCTGGCCAATTTTAGTCATAATTGTAGGGTTTATAGTCTGCATAACATATATGTATATTGTATAGTTATATAATACTATATAATTTGCGGCATCTATGCATGGCTTATAAGACAGAGCAAGTGTGCTGTTCATGAGGATTTGGCCATTCAGGCTCTGCTTTCATGCATACC